AATGAGCTAGCCCTTTCTATTTATCCCTGCTTTCGACCAGTCGCCGCCATGCCGCATTTTAAACAAGGCAACTTATGTTTCTCTAATCAGAATCAGATTCCTGCCACTCCACAACCGCCTTACTTTCCAGATTTCTCACCTTCTGATTCTTCTATTCTCAAAGGATTTTACAGGGCAAATGTTTTCATAAAATTCGAATTATCCAAAATGACGTCACAGCCAATCTGTATCATATTTAAAAGAAAAAAATATTATTTTAGTAATATGAGATGCATTAGAAGCAAGTATGTCTGTCCCAGTGGAGATTCGAACGTGACTAAATAATATTTTTTTTATATTTCAAATAGAACTATTCTATGGTCATTTTTCAGACGTATTTAGGAGTACTGGAAACAGGTTCCAGTACTAAGGTTTTGAGTGAAATCGTAATTTCAGCCCGAACCTCAAAACAGTATGAATTTGATTTTCTTACTTTATTATTTAGCTATTTGCTGTTACCTTACACTAATTTAATTCAATTTATTAGCCCAAAGAGGCAATTTACCCAGAAGGGCTATTAATTTCGTTTTGGCATTTTGCGTTGCTTCACTATAAATGTCCGATTTACTTTTCGAACTTTTGCCACCAAATATTATCGCCCTGTATTGTATTTAAAAAAATTAAATAATGAAGAATCTGCATAAATGTTACGTTTCTCACATTGTGATAAAACAACGGTACCTAGAGCCATCCAATTTTGAATGACGTACATTTACATATGGGTATCTGGGCGTCCAAATTTGAAATATGAAATTTGCTTTATTATCGATTTTATATTTTGCAAAACTTTAACGAATTTTTGATTAACAGACTCAACGATGTAAAAGCGAGCAATGGCAACACTCTACCGGGGGGGGAACACCTTTTTATCTCCAGCGCGCAGAACTGTGTATCGGAAATTCTTAAGATATGTTATTTTAAAATTATATTTCGATACTGCTGTTGAACTGAATTTTCTGGTTTAAGTGCGAAGAACATGATATTTAATAAATAAAGATAACAACACAAAACCTAAAAAAAAAAAAAAAAAAAAAAAAAAAAAAACCGCCGCTTTTGACGTAATTTAAAACCTGAAACCTTTCAGATTTTTAATTTTGTAGCTTTTTTTCCCACTGACTCAAGAACAATAGATGATAGGCAGAGTAGTAATTTTATCGTGGCTTGAATTTCCGTTCCAATTTCGCGAATTTCAGGCCATTTTCAGAAATTTCACAACTATCAAATAAATTTACGAATTTCAGATTTTTATTTCTTTTTATTTTTATAATTTTTATCTCAATCATTGGGATTGCGAATTGGATAATATTTCGCCTTTAAAGAATTTTAATGAGTACCAAGATTCCTCTTCTTAAACACGTTTTATAGAATGATAAATACTAAATTTAAATAAATATATATATACATATAATTATTCATTTTCTATTTAGGTTTATCTCCTAGAACATATAACATATATACAGGGTAGTCATAAAAAAAAATTTCCCGGTATATGAATCCGCCTATCCACTCAACCAATCGAAATAATAATTAAAAAAAAAAAAAATTATTTGAAGGTGTGCCGTCCAGAGTGTGATGATTTAAAACAATAGAGCTCTCACGGTTGCGGTTATAGTTAATAAAATTTTGAAATTTTCGAACGTCTATACCCACTTTTTTCTTCCCGAGCATTCAAAATCCATAAATGGCGTTTGAACGATACGTGTATGACGAAAATTGCCGACATAAAATCTTTGCAAAGAAGAGATCATCATTCCTCCTCAGATATGATGAAGGCAGCAGGTGGTCACTGAGAATATTTAGGAAGGACGAGGACAATTTCTCCTTACCTTGGAACGTAAATTCCAGTTTGGTTATACGCTAGTTATTTATAGTATCCCTGCTGCATATTTAGCAGACGCTTTTTTACATTGTACAAAATTTACACAGAAAAGAATCTGCTAATTCACTGCTGTTTCCAAGCTCACGGATCCTAAATTCAAGGGTTGCTGTATTTTGATACCTTTGTTTTCTCCTTAAATTTGCCAACAACTTTTATATTCACCTTGTACATAACATAACATACTTCTATCTCCTTACCCCTCTCCCCAAAAATAGTCTTGGGAGAAGCAGAGTTAGGTTAAGTTATTTGAATAAGGCATAGCACACGACGCTATATGTGTAATGGAGAGTCCAAAAATGAATTACAATTCTGATCAGAGAATGACAACTAAATTTTTAATTTTTGTAATTTAGTCAGTGAACAAAAATTAATTTTAAAAAAATGCGCTGCCAAAAATGTATACATTAGCTACAAAAAATGTTGTTACTAAGCGTAATTAATAGGCAGAAAAGGTTAGCAAAGTCTTCTTGTTTGATTACAGACCCCCCCCCCACTCACACACACAAAGCCCCCCCAAAAACAAAATTGTGCTACAAAAACAAGTTAGTTAAATAACAACAACAAAGAAAACAAACAAAAAAAAAAAAAAAAAATGTTACTAAGATTAATTACTATTCAGAAAGTTAAAAAAATCTTCTTGTTTGATCCCCCCAACACACACATGCACACTGCCATTCCTCCCAAAATTTGTGCATTTGCTTTAAAAGGAAAACAAAAAATGTTAATACTAAAAGTAATTAATATGCGAAAAACTTCTTTTTTTATGTCACCCCGCATACATACACACAAACGTATCCCACCTCTTTAAAAAAAAACAATTGTGTCTGTTTTCATCATAAGCACACAAAAAATTGTTGTATTAATCACTAAATTTACTTAATCGTTATTAAATACAGAGAAGACCTCTACAAAACTAATGACTGATTTCACCCAAAAACACACGCACACAAACAAAATATATTAAATATTAATGCTGCTTAACAAGGGCAATTAATGTACAAAAAAAGTTCAACAAAATAATGTTTAATATCTGTTTTTTTCATTGTATTAATTTAAAAACAGATTGCCATCATTCAGAATACCTTAAGAGATTTACCAAATTTTATTCGAATCTTACCAATTATTTTTGGCAATTTATAATTGGTAATAAAAAAAAACATCATTATAATATACTTATCTAAACAAAGATGAAAACTAAAAGGAATCAGTTAACGGGTAGAGAAGAAAAGAAAAAATTGTTTTATTTTTTAAAACAAAAACAACAACAAAAAAATGATAGAAATATCCGAAAATAAAATAACAAACATATATGTGGTTGTAATAGGAAAAATACGACAGGTAGCACGGAACGCTAATTTGCCGATATTCACACAATTCGTTATCCTGTTTCTCAGGGTTGCCTCTTCACGGTCGGCAAACCGAGATGAAAACGGCAAAATGTAACTTTTTCCGGCTTTCCCACGCTGCCATTTGGCACACTTTACTTGAATTTTCGCGCAAGTGGGTGGAGAAAGTGTGGGAATTTTTTGATTGTAAGCCACGATTGGCTGAGAAAATCATGCGCGGGAAAGCTGAAGGCGGGATCTTGACGTCAGTAAGCACAGGAACGGGTTGCTATAAAAGTTTCTTGATCGCTATTTTCTCAGTTTTATGAAAAGCAAAAAATGATCGCCTATGAAATGTGAAGTGAAATTTAGAAAGGAAATGTGTACTACTGTAAAAATTATTAATTTTAATTTGTAATAAAACCTTTTAATAAAATCTCAATGTAAAGAAAAACCTTATATGAAATATACGAATTTTTAATTTCGTATTAAGTTCCTAACATTAAGATTGCTTTTGGAACAAAAAATATTAATGTAAGTAATAAATACAATTTTTAATTCAGCTATTTATTTGAAATTTTTGAAATTTTATTACCCACTTTTATTTCTGTTAAAATATTTACATCTATAACAAATATTTGTATGCTTTTCAGAATAAAAAAAAATTATATAGATTGATAATATAAATTACTGGAAAATATATTGAATGGAAATAGACGTTGTGTCCAAGGGATAGTTAGTTATACGTTGAACTAATAAAAAAATATATTAACTTAAAATTTTCAATATGCAATGACTCAAAAACCCCCATTTACACGTTTTAAATGAAAGAAAATTAAATCTGTAATTTAAAGATAAATGTAAAAAAGAGAAAGTTTAGGAAGAGATATAAAACAATGAGCTCAACAGTCAAATATTCACATTTATTATTTTAAAAATGAGAAATTTATTTATAAATAATACCTAAAAATTTTGTAATTTTTTCCTTAATTTCACAAGCATTGCTGAGATTATTAAATGACAACTACATACTTATTCTGCTAAATTTTTTATGTTCATAAAATATTTTAAGAACCTCCGAATAAGAAATATTTTGAACAAAAACTTCTGATGTAGCATATTTGAAGAATAAATTAAATATAATATAAATAAATCTAAAATAAATCCTTTTAGACTTGAAAATAGTTTATCGATAATCACGAATATTTTTCATTTACGCGTACTAAATTAAGATACTTCTGTACGTTTATTAAAAAATGAGATCTAGAAAAAGTGTGTAATAGAATCTTTTAAAAATTCTGTTGAGTGTAAAAGTTCTTACTTTCCTTTTATAATATAGTTCTTAAAAGGCATCGATAAATAAATTTGCAGTAAAAAAAGATAATAATAATGCTAAGGTATAAATTTTCAAAGCAAATGTACGTGTAAATAAATAGCTTGAAGATGAAACTAGAAAATTGGCGAGATTTTCGAGCTGTTGGCGACAAAATGCGACGCGCAAGAGCAACCTTTCATTTGCCATCAAAAACCAACTCACGCTGCGCGCTGTTGATCAGTCGCTGCTGCAAGCGAATTGGGCTGCACTTGCATGCGAGTAAGAGTGCAACCAGTTATTTACTAGTCACCGGTTGTTGTAGCAAACCAAAATTCAAAGCGAAGTGTTGGTTAACCGGTGCATATTTATTTCCAGTAAATATTCTTTGGAAACATTTGTGAGGGCAGTTGCAGAAGTTGTGCTAGCTAATACTTCTTTCACAATGAGCCAGACAGAAGTGCAAACAGGTGCTTCGAATCAAGAAGTGTTTCTAAAAGCTGTGAGGAAAGGCGATACCACGGAACTACAAAAAATTCTTCAGCGATGGGAAGGTGCATTAAATGTAAACTTTTACGATAAAGAAGGCCAGACAGCTTTACATCAGAGCTGCATGGACGGAAACCTTGAATTGGTAAAGCTTTTAGTAAAGTTCGGTGCTGATGTTCGGTTAGCAAATAGAGACGGCTGGAGTGCTCTGCATATTGCAGCTTACGGTGGACACCAGGACATAGCGTTATACTTAATTGCCAATTCTAGAAGATAAAATCTAGTCATTCCCATTTTTGTTTGATATCATAGTATTATGATTTATATGGATTTGAATGCGTGTGGAATACAGTAGCTCAAAGCGTGCTGGTACGCCCGTGAGTTCCTTTTCCAAGTACTGTCTGTATATTAAGTGCCAATATAGCATACTAGAATGGGAGTCGTATTTAACAAAGTATCATTTTCATCTATCCAAAATCCCTAAAAGGATTACTGATGGATTATCGCTGCAATTAATGGATTAGTTGAATGTTTCGATCCATCTTCAGTCCTGTCTTCGTGGTATGTGGGACTACTTTGAGAATTCTACACCAGTTTTGCTTTGCCATTTGATTTCATACAGAAAGATCCTGTGACATTTCTCATTGCCATCTATCGGTTTTAACTTCGGAAAAAGATTAAAGTACCTGCAGACTTACCTGAAACATAATGCAAGCATTTTACTGAAAAAATATAAAATACTGACCTGAAATCTTAAATATTTTTGTGGATATGGTACCTTGTGCAATATGGTATTTTTTAAATTTTTTATTTATTTTTCTTTTTTAACTTGGTGGAAAAGAAGAAATAGCAAGTAGGCCCTAATTATATATTTAGTAATTTATTTTTTACGAAATTCTTTTATGCTAATATGATGCGAACAAAATGCCATTTTCAACTTTCTGAAGTTATTCCATTGAAAATATAAGTGTTTTTGTTAAATGTATTCAGATTTAATAATCTCACTGGTATATATGTATATGTGACACATTTTTAGAGCGAAATTTTACCATTTGAAAGAATTATATGTATGCTGTATGTATATTGCACGATTGCTAAATTAGGCTTGTGACGATCCGTATCACTTCATGGAATTTCTCACAATATTTGTTCAGCCGTGTATTCATTGAAGCATGAAGGCTGGGAACACCAGAACAAGACCGCGTAGCGCGACGAGAGGAAAAGAAACAAACAAGAATAAAACAGTAAAAAAAGTTACTTCTCCCCACCCTTCTTCTCCCTCCCGAACAACTTTCATAATGGTGTAGCTATCGTGCGGCGAAAATTAGGCTGCAATGGAAGCTGGCTACTGAAGCCGGTTTTTCTTTCTATGGGCATAATACCACATTACAGACTGCATTCCAACGTACAAAAGAACCCCAGTAATACCCCCTGGCGGAAACGAAGGTCACTAGTTAAGTCTCTTAGTGACGTCAAACAGCAGAATTAAAAAATGCAAAATGTATATAATGGTAAAATAGAAATGTGTTCCTAATGCATTTCTTTTATTTTGGTCCGCCGTTTTCAATCTAAGGTTAAATCATTTTGATAAAAATGGAGTTTAATTTAAAATTTCATTAAAATGTTTATATATTTATTCATTTTGATAACAATGAAATTTAATTTCAAATATTAAATTCTCAAAATTTTAAATTCTGATTAACATTTTTACATATTTATTCATTTTAATATGCATATTATTTCTAATGACTTAGATTATGTATTCTCAGCTTGGAATTCCTTTGTGGGGTAGGGTATGGTCAGCCTTTTATTTGCCTGTTAAGTATTTAGTTTTAGCAACATTTGATAAACTTTTTCTTGTTTAATTTATTGCAAAATTAATTCTTTAATTTTGTTTACTTGCTTGAAAAATTTTTATATTTTTACTGATTTTTAATTTTCAATATTAATATTTCTAACAGCCAGATCAGGGACTCACAACCTGAAAGGGATTTCTGTCTGGGAAGGGGAATTTCATAGATTCAGAGGGGAATGCAGTCAGTCCTTTATTTTGCCTGTTCAGTAAATTTAGTTTTAGTTTATAAGTACAAACTGCTTTTATACAAAATTTGGTATTTATCAACATTTTATATACTTTTTCTTGTTTAATTTATAAAATACATAAACAATAATTGAAATATAAATAAATTTGTATGTATTTTTCAAGTTTGGGGAGGGGGGGATAATTATCTAACAATGGTGAAAGAAAGATGAATGGAGCAAAAAAAAGTTGAAGACCACTATGTTAGATTGAGAAGGAAATAAAAAAATGTATTTATTGGGAAAGGTTATAATTTTCTCTGTATTTAAAATTGCAAAGGAGATCAATTAGTATGAAAATGCATAACATATTTCTGTGCATTATATTTAAATTTATGTAATTTTTCATCATTTCTAACAGTAGAGAAATTCCATGATCTGGTTTGTAATAAAAAAAAAGTATATGATAATAATTAACTTCAGACATTTTATAATGATGCAAAAGATTTATCTTCTTATTTTACTTTGCTTTGTAAAGAAATATGGCGTATTATAAATTCTCAATATGAAAGATTTTAAATGTATATGCTTATTTTGCATGTTCATGAAATTATCTCCAAACTCAACAATGTTATAATGGAATTTTTTCTTAATAACATAGTCAAAATGTGTGTTTAAAATGTATTTAAATCTAGCCTACATCTAAAATTATATGAATAATTTTATATATGTAGTTTAAGTGATTTAGAACAGTAAAGATTTATGTGAATAATCAGGAATGAAGTGAAGGAACTTCATTTGAATTGTTTTTACAATTATAAATGTATCTCAACTAGGCCAATTTTATAAACATATGCAACTAGAATTAAGTGGGGTTTAATTTTTTTTAAAAATTGAATAGAAAGAATATTTTATTTAAAATTGAGGAAATTCTTATATCTTGCATAATGTCTGTATGTTACAATTGTGTCACAGAATATAATATTTTAGGCGAATTTTATTTAAATAGTTTTATATAGAATCATTTACCAATTTAAATATGATATGTGATCAATCCAAATTGTTCATGTATTAAGCATATTACAATAGTAGAAGAAGCATTGCATCTATATTGGCAATTTACAAATGTAGAACATTTCTAATAATTATATCAGGTCAGTTACATGTTTATACTAAAGAAAAATTTTTATCAAAATATGTTCAATTAAAATATCTGAAAAGTTCTAATGCTCTGTAAATATTATATTTGCTTATTTGGAAGTAAAACAAAGCAAATGATAATTCAGTGTTATTCCAGGAATAATTTATCAGGTTTTGAAATGATTCAGGGATTATATAGCCAGTCAGTCATCATTTTGCATCCATCAAACATGCTAAATTAAACATTTGTATTGATAAATGTAGATCACTTGTACATTATTTGTTCACCATATGTTGATCATTAAACAGTTGTTGAATATATTCTCTTAGTATATTAATTTCAGATAAATTGATTACACAGTCAACAATATTAAAAAATTGCGTTATTACTATTTATGGACTATAATTACAAAAGCTTTTGTCATCAAATCAGATTTTTTAAACTGAAAATGGCAACCTGAATTTAGATTAGCATTATTTTTTTGGTTAAAAATTATAATTTTTTAAAGAATTGATTTCAGTGAATTCTGTTGAAAAATTACAAAGATGTCATATAAAATACATTATTCATCGTGCATCGACACAAAATGCTAAAACGAAATTATTAGTCCTGGGCATTTGTGTTTTGGCAGTGTCAAATTTTTTAAAAAAATTCATTTCGGACAAATAACGAAATCTAAATTTTTAATGCAGTCTCTGGGTTCCTATGCTTATATTTCGAAAATTTTCGTACTCGTTATCAAACAATAAAAATACAAGATTTTGACTACCTCACGACAAAAATTGAACGCGATATCTAATTGAAAATTTTTTTATTTTTGATGTCATTTTCAATTTGTCTTGAAGGATCGATCAATTAAGTTAGAAGAATCTGAGGAAATAAATTTAAATGAAGTTCAACAAAAAATGTGTAAAATTTAATAATCGTACAAGGAAGCCGTGATGTCCACATCAGATTTTTATTTTTGTTAACAAAACCATCGCATGACATTGTAGAGGTCTGCAGGAATGCTGTAATTACTGTTATGTAGACAGTATACGAAGATTTTTCAAATGCACAATAAAACATTTTTAGTTCTTTTAAATATTTCTTAAATGATTTTTATTTAGAAAAATTTTCTCACGTCTAACAACAGTAACAGCAGTTGTGAGGAAAGTTTGCATTAATATTATGATAATCTCAAACTCTGATCCGGAAATTGTATTTTAGTACTGTAAAGGCCCTTATTTTCGCGAGCCCGTCGTAATCGCGAAAATTTAAGCCTCGCGAAATATTTTTTTTTTTCCCGCCTCAAATCTCAATAAAAAAAAATCAGAAATTTTTCACTTACCCCAAATTTAATGATTTATTGCACAGTTACAAGCTTTTTCTTGACAACTTTCTTTCTTATAACTATTTTTTGAATAATATACAACTTTATTTCTCGAATATAAAACAATAAAATTAATAGAAGACAGCTCATTCACTTTATACCAGCTTCTTTGAAGCCATTCAAAATTATCTCATGTTTGGCTTCAGTACCGTTAAATACGTGCACAACCCATGAAGCGTGAATCGGTTTTAGTCGTAATATTCGCAAGTCCACAGATTCTTTTTCCTCTAGAAATTGAAGCTCATTAGAATACCACTCAATAAACTCATTCTTGAGCAAACGCTTGAACTCATCATTTAGACGGGGACGAACTTTTCGGACAAAAGGAAGTTTCTTAAAATGCTTTATGCAAAAGACGTACTTTTGGAATTTTTCAACTTTACTTAGGTACTTTTGAAATTTTTCAACTTTCGGTCCTGTTCATATAAAATTCGCGAAATATTTAGCTCGCGAAATCACCGATATATTCATTTTCGCGAAAATAAGGACCTTTACAGTAAGTAAAAATTCGTCAAGGATCGTCCTTCCACCCTCCCGTCGTTCTCCTTAGCTATGAAGCAAAAGAAACTCTGATATATTTCCCTCTTAATTAGGAACTCTTCCTTATTAATGTTATTGTGATCATAATTCGTAACTTTCATAATTAATGTTTGTAATTTTCATTTAAAAGTTTGAAGGGAATAAAATAGGTATAATCAGAGTATGCAGCTGTTGAAATCTAGTTGTGATTTCTTTAAATATTTAA